CATTAGTATATTAGGCCCATTTTGTATGATATTTCCATTGTGTGCATGCGACACAAAACTTAATATATTGCCAAATATTTTGATTTCAATTATTTCCATGGGATACCAAATTTAGTATTTTTTGGCAAATTTGTAATTCATTATCAGTATCAGTGTATTTAAATTTCCGCGAATTAACATTATGGCATTTTACGTCTGTCAAATAACGGCCAAATAAATACGTGGAATCATTAATTACTAAGGACCTAGCGTAGAATTGGAAATTACTCCAAATAAACAAATGTTCAATTCGGGAACAGGATAATAGTATATTTGGTTATTGATGAAATAGTAGGGCGCCACCAGACGGTCTGGCTTAGCAAGTGCGTCGTGCTTCTTTCATGAAGTTGACGCTGATTGTGCACAAAGGAAGCCGCTCATCCCGCCATTGGATGGCGGCACATCGTGTATGTGGTGTTTACAAAGGACGTGGAGATGATCCGTGGTACATCGTGACCAATAATAAAATGATTGGTTGTCCAACTACTGGCGTGTCTTTTATTTCTGAGCTAAATGTGCAACCAAAGTCCCGCCATTTATTTTTCATGGTTGTTCGACCATAGTCGTCTGCACCAGTATTGCTAGTTCTAAGTTTGGTTTACTATGTTGGTCGTTCGACACCATATTCTCTTTCGGTACCGACGCCAAACTCTGCGTCATGGGAAGGAAATCTACTCACCACGTCACTCCACCTCGAAACCTTTCGTTCCCGGAAACGTACTTTCCAATATGAGACTGATTTTTTTTATAAGTTCGGCCATTTGAAATCATATTCTGGACAAGATTTTTATCAATTAAATGGTTGGCTTCCATTGCTGCTCCAAATCATTCGGAAAATGGCAGCGCAAAAACCGTGCAAATTCATTTCACCGCCACTTTACAGCGGTTTTCACACAGACATCAGTTAATTCCGTTACCCAATGGCTGAAGCAATTTCACATCAACCAGACACGCCCCAAAACAGATGACGAGATTTGACAGGATCGGCCAATGCGCATGCGTATAAAACAGCTGGTACTAATATCTTATTTTGCACTCGTACAATGCAAAATACATATTTGATTAGATTGGTTGGCCATCAAGTACCATCCTATGGCACCCAATTCATATATCACCAATACCATAGTACAGAGTTATGTTAACAGCGAGTCACAAATAAAACTAATATACTAAATTTTTATTTAATTAATTGTACGGATGAGATTACATTGTGAAATGGCCACGATGTACCACGGATCATAGGGGGCATTGTCTCTTAGACAAACAAATGTACAGTATAACTCGCCTTTAAAGGCAAATAGTACATTCTAACCCGGTGAGTGTTTATCTAAATCTGGCATTATATCAACAATAGCTAA